TAGAACAATTTTTCTAAAGTTTTGGGGAATTTTTTTAAGCTTCATTGACTGGACAATTATGTTGAAGTTTAACTTTTACTTATTTTTCTATTTTTTAAATACAATATAAAAAAAAATGTTGTTTGTGGGTTTATTTTCTTGTTTTTTATCACCCCCAACCTGGAGTGAGGGCAAGTGGCTTGACAAGGGAGAGAAATATGTGTAGGATATAAAGATTAAAAGAAATGTAAAAGGGCAAATATGTTTTTTACCGTGTCACGGCTGTCCACACTTGCTGTGCAATAATAGCAAGATCAGCAGAGGTCAAATAGTGACAGCAAAGAGCTTGAGCACCGGTGAAGAATAGCGCATATTGGAGGGTTTGAAATGGAACCTTTGCCAGTGTAGTTCATTTTTTTGCCATATAAAGTAGGTAAAGCAGACTAGAGACTGAAAATGGGGGCAATGATTGCCCCTTCTCTTGAACAGCCAGAGGAATCAAGTCTTTGACAAATGGGTGTTATATGGGTTGCACAGGCCTTTTAAGCAGAAGTAAAAAAAAATGCTTGATAAGTTTTTTTGTTTTTTTTTTCATTTTTTTCATTTTGATTTTTGGATTTATTAGTTAATACACAAATGCAGTGCATCAGTTCTTATTACAAGTTAGCTCAATGGATACAGCTATGAGGTTGTGTGACTTTGGGCCCACTAGCTTGATAAAAATGATATTCCCACCTTTGCTAGATTTTTTCCATCTACTCCACAAAACCCGTGCTCAGAATAACAAAATAAATCTATTCCCCAAACACCCAGTCCTATCCAATCTTTTCTGCCTTTTCTTTATAATGCCTAGTTTTTAACTTAAAGGAGATAGTACTTGCTACAAACAATGGTGACTAGCAAAATACCTGGTGAAGATGCAGCCCACAAAGAGCAGTAGGCTTTAAGCAGTACGAAATTTGCCCAGGAGTCCCAGACAAACTCCTCCTTTCATCTTTTTTGCTTCTATTGTTTTGGATTCTCTTCTCCCACAAGTAATAGGTGTAGTGTACATGTCAGAAATACTTTTGTCAGTATGAGTTTTTATGCTGTAGATTTTAGATTAAATATTTATGTCTTGTGGCCATTCAAGCAAAGAACAGAGAAATTTTCTGAGGACAAATACAAGATAGCAGCATATATAATTGTGTTTTCCCTTAGAGCTTTTTGTTGTATTATACATGATGGCCAAATCAGTCCTGAAGTAAGTGAGCTTCCATGGGTTTTGTTTGTTGATTTCCTGTTTTGTTTGGACTTTGTAAGCGGTGTCTTGTTTGGTTCATTTGAGTAAGCTTTGGCAAACTGGTTCTTTAAAATTATGTTTAAAGCAGAGGATCATAGAATGCTGTAGGTTGGAATGGACTTCTGGAAGTTGTTTAATCCACATCCCTGCCTGAAGTTGGTGTTGTTACATCAGGTAACTTGAGTAGGTTGCTAAGACATCTGATCAAGTTTTGAATATATCATGGGGCCTTGAATGTCTAGGCAGCCTGTTTCAGTGTTTGATCACTTTGACCGTCCTTGTGGTAGGAAAGATTTTCCTTGTATCTGCATGACATTTTTTGTGTCCACACTTGTCTGTTACCTTGCATCCTACCCCCATGCACTTCTGAGAAGCATCTGGCTCTACCTCTTCTGTATCTTTCCTATAGTTAGCTGAAGACAACAAGCAGTAAGATCCGTCCTTTGCATTTTCTTCTCTCAGCCTCTCCTCAAACATCATGGGCTCCATTCCTCTAATAATCTTAATAACCTTTCACTGGAGTTTCCCTAGTAATGTAGTGTCTTTCTTTAATTGGGCAGCCCACAACTGGATGTAATACTCCAGATGTGGCCTCACAATTATCAAATGGAGGGGAAGAAATCCCATTCCTCTACCAGGTTACTAAGCTTTTGCCGACACTCCCCCCCCTCCCCAGGAGGCTGGTGCCTCCTGACCCAGCAGCTATGGCGTTCTGCTGACTCATGGTCAGCTTGTCCACCAAAACCGCCAAAGTGTTTCCTGTAAAGCTGCTCTCTGGCTAGCAGGTGCCCATACTGTACTGTTGTAACTGCATTATTCCACCCTGTGTGCAAGACTTTGACTTTTCATGGGGTTCCTGCCAATCCATTTCTTAAATCTGTTGGAAATCAGCCTGAGTACTAGCCTTACCCTCCAGCATGTCAACTGCTCCCTCAATATCCTTTGCAAACTTGTTGAGGTTGCACTCTACCCTCTTATCCAGGACATTAATGAAGATGCTATTGCCCCTACTGTCAGTCCTGGAGGATGGCGGCTGGTAACTGGCCACTGTATGAGAAATTAAAGCATCTTCATAATGTGTGAGTTGTGACAATGCATATACATTGCAGCTCAGATTGCTCTTACTTTGAATTTTATTAATCATCATACATGATTTTCCAGTTGTATACTACAGTGTTTGCAAAACCTGATTGATGGTGTATAAAAAATAGTATGTCTTTCACTGAGTCTGTATGCAAATATTGGTTTTCAATTGCAGTGTAGCACACAGAAAGTCTTTAAAGTTGTCTTTGGTTTTCAATGCAAAGACTGGAAAACCTAAGGTAGCATGCCACAGGCTGGCCATTGGGCTGATATTCTTGCCAGCAGTTCTTTTAGTGGTTTTGTTTGTTTTATTTTTCTCCTTGTTTCCTGCTGGAAACCTTGAAAAAGATTTCTCAGAAAGCTTTCATTCTGCTTCTCACATACTTGATTGGTCTCTTCTGGCACTTTAAATTGCTCCATGATAGTTTTCATGTTAATATGAAAGACAGATAGGTTTCATTTACTTTCTATTATTTGCTACAGGCTCATATTTATCCCTAGTGTAAACACTGCCTTATAAAGATGAGACCTAGGAGTTGCCCTTCACCAAATACTGGCAGATCATGTCTTTGCTTTTTGCAAACATCAGTCTTGCTCTTCCTTGTTTCACAGTTTTTTCACAGTGTTGGTTAGTGGCCTGTGTTGTCATTTGCTACATCTTCCTTTAGGAGTTGCCAGCACTACTATGGATGAGAGTGAGCTGTAGTTTGTGCACCCTTTCAGGTTTGATCTAGCTTTGAGAGGTTTACAAAATCCACATATTCTCCCAGGTGCTTTACAATGTGAAACAAAGAATTCCTTCCACTCCTACTCTAGCCTTGTACCTTGGCAAAAAAAGCACAGTACAATTGCATCTTAATTTTGGTAACTTTATGGGTGGGACAATTGCCAAGTTCTTAGCCAGTTTTCTGAAAACCTGAAAAGGATATTTTTGGGTATAGACTCTGGGCCAGATGTAGCTCTGGTCTGGCCACGCTCATCACCCTCTGTACTGGTTGGTAGGGGTGGCAGGTGCATGTGCCCCGGCTAAAGCCCCAACCAAAGCCTTGGCCAAATCCCACTAAATCTTCCCCTGAGACAGGCTCCAGGGAAAGTCTTCCGTGCGCAGCTCTTGTCCGATCCACCTGGTGGCGCTGGTGGCTCAGGGGCGGGAAGTGGGCCCTAAGTGCACGGGGTACATGACCATAGCTGGTCACAGGTCAGACTGGCCCAGGATGTGAAGCAGCCCCCGGGGCAGCCATTCTGAGCCGCTGCTCCACAAAGCAAAGCTCCTGCAGCCGGGGATCTCCCTGGAGTTGGGAGCTGGTCGAGGGGAGAGCCCTCCCTGTGGAGGTGAGTGATGGTGCACGTTGGGTTCTTGAACATCGACTGTGAGAGCAGCGGGGTAGTGGCGAGTCCATGCGACACCCCATATGACATTTTTTTTCTCACTTCAGTTAGTATGAGTGAGGAGTAATTCAAGTTATCACAAGATAAATATTTGACTGTAAGGTTAAGCTAAGACAAGAGTCTGGCCCTTGCCATGTAGAGTTTTAAAAAGGAGTTACGGTACGACATGTTGCTGGAAGAATGTGCTCCCTCACTGATAAGCACAGAATGCCAGCTCCTGAAGAAGGTTCTCCTCAGAAAAACCTGTGCAAAGAATGTCTTTGACTTTAACAAAATTCCGTTTTCTTATAGACAGAAGATAGAAGTTTACATACAAATTAAATTTTTATAGTTAAAAAAATAGTCAAAGAAGCCAGTTAAGTTTGATTAGTACTGGAAGGGGTCACCCGAGCCATTTGAACTTATTTTCCAGTTGATTATTGGTTTTGATATTTACCATATGGTGGTTACATGACCCTAATAATTAAGGAGAACTTGGGTTCGGTGCTTTGCTGACTTGAAGATCTTTGATGCAAAATTCAGTTTATGTTCTCTAAGATGGGAGGCTAAATCTCAGCCGAATTTCATCTGTACCATTCCAGCTGTGAAAAATAAACTTACATGATTTTCCCTGGATCATTTTCAGGTTCAGCCTCCTTCTCCTCCCCCCTGCTGAGGCTCACAAACTCACATTTTGTTTGAACTATAAACCTTAATAAATTATTCTGCATTTAATTACTTGAAAGTGGCTTGTCTTCTGGAACCTTTGAATTGCTTTTAAAGACCTTAGCTTATGCTACCTCTTTTTCTGTGTTACGTGATATTTGTGCTGAATTGCTGTCATGTATCAAAAGTACTTGTGTCTTCACAGTGCCATGTAATTTCCTACAAACAGCTGCTTGCTTTATCTGTACTATTGTTTCTGAAATTGAATACAGTTTTAGTATTTCAATATAAGATTTGATTGAAATATTGCATATTCAGTTGACCATCATGCATTCCAAGAGCAGAGAGCCTCATCCTATGACTGTGATCGCTTCTCCGAAGGTAATAACATTCCAAGGTTCTGAAAATGTGATGAAATTCAAATGCAGTTTGAATTAAAAATATCCTATCTGTAGTCCTGTATGTATATGTGTTGTCAGAAGATGGAAATATGCCTAGGTCTTAGCAGTCCAGTTCTGTCCTTTTGCTAATTTATCATGCATTTCCTCCTTCCTTTAAGGAATAAATGTATTTAAAGCTTTTTTTTTTTTCCTTTCTTTCTTTTTTCTCTCTCTCCTTATAGGGCCAGTATTGTGCAGAAGCGCATAATTTATTTTCAAGATGAGGGTTCTCTCACCAAAAAAATTTGTGAACAAGGTAGGGTAAAGTAAAACATGTTTCTGACCTCCTTGTTGTGTTCTACATATTTCTCTTAACTCATTATTTCCCACTAAAATTTTTAGACCTTGAACAGTCCAGGTTCTAATTTGGGATCTTCTGTTTAATTATGTTCTTCCTTATCACATATACTGCTCCTCCTACAGTTTTCCTTGTCTGCCCCTAATTGTGATACTTGTAACTTTTTATCTGGTCTTCATATGAAACTCATTTGTTTCTGGGGCACTTAGTTTATTGAATCCTGGGCTATTCCATCTTTTCCTAAACCTAAGAATTGCAGTTGGTTATTGCTTTGGAAATAAATTTGTGTTATGTGCTTTGGCGGTCCAGAAAATTAAAGCCTATTGTGTTTTGAGATTTTTTCCATATCAGATAAGAACTAGAAACAAACCTGTTTCAAATCTAGGATGACTGGAATAGTAGTGCCTTCTTATTAAAAATGCAGATTTCAGTTATTACATCCACTTATTTGTAAGATTCAGGTACATCAGGGTTCGAGTTTAAGCTAGTGTAGCCCAACTTAAAAATAAACAAAAAAGATGATGTGTTGGAATCACATTTATTTCCTGTAGCATTTATTATGTCAACATTGCGATCATTTGCTGAGTTTGAGTGTAACCCTTTTCAATGGGTATGTTGCTGCTTTTTCAGACTCAGCCTCAGAAGGTGTAACTGAGAAACCAATTTTAGATTGTTGTGCCTGTGGAACAGCCAAATACAGGCTAACTTTTTATGGAAACTGGTCAGAAAAAACACATCCCAAAGATTTTCCACGTGAGTATTACTGTTTTGCTATTGTTGTACTATATAGGGACTGTGAAGAGGGTTGAAGCCTGCTGTATGACACATTACTTATTTACAGCTCAGCAGTGCAAATTATGACATATATGGAATATATATATAAAAATATTCAGTATTGAAAATCTATGGATCTTTCTGTAAATGCTATCTGTTAAAAATAAATTCTATTACTTTGTCTGATATTTTGAATGGAGGTACGTATGAGATCACAATTTCAAGATTTCTTTGTGGTGGAAAAGTTACTTTTTTTGGCTTATAATCTACAGTTAGGAAATGAGATTTTGAGAAAAAGGCCACCATGGATGGACAGCACACTGACATCTTGATACTTCAACCATGCCAATCTAGCCAGTATGTTTTCCTTCAAAGTCTTTTAAAAAGATTCTAGTTAGTTTTGGTGAGCCCTGAATCTTGCTGCCCAAGGACACTAATTAGATATATAAACCTTTATAATATCATCTTCTTTGTTAGTTTCATAGACAGATAAAATACAGAATCTGAGCTTTGCCTGTCTTTTTTTTTTTAAGTTTCTGAACTACAGAATCAGTATTCTTGTTGCAGTAACCCAAGTAACTGTAAAGAGCTAAAATTACAAAAACGTGTATTATGCATTTGTTCCTTCGTTACTGACTCCACAGTCTGTGGTAATAAGGGTTAGGAAACAATTTGAGAAGATGAATCTCATTTTACTTGTCTTTAAACTTTGTTCTGTTGTCTGTGGCCGATACTTATATAGACTTCATATGTCAATTATAACTCAAATACAGTTTTTGTATTAGTTATCTCAGGGTCTTAACAGCCTAAGAAGTATTGCTTATGTTGACTCTCATAATTTTAAGTTGAATGCAGCATTATTCAAATATTATTTGTCAGCATAATGCATGGCAGATGAATAAGCAAACCCAGTAATTGCAGGAATGCCCTTTTAGGTTGCTGCATTATTTGTATATTTGCTGAGTGCAACATTATCCGCATTATTTGCATGGATTCAGCTGGTGATTAGAAATAGTGTATGAGAAAATGATTGAAAACTATGAAATGACTATGACTTAATGATGTAATATTGGGGTAAATGGCCTTTTCTTTTAGAACTAAGTCAGTAAGCACATAAGGAGTATGGGTGCGTGAATGAAAGTAAGCAAGTTGTAATAGTTTGCCACAATATTGGACTCTGTAGACTGTCTCTCCCCACTGAGAAAGTCTTGAATAATATTAATGTTAAAAAAAAAAAAAAAAGGGCAAAGTGAAAAGCATGTAATACTAACGGGTTTAAGCCCAGTAAGAGCAGCTGATAAGATTTTATGTTGAAATTTCTGAAAGTCATGAAAAAGATCTCATCCAGATCTAATGATGTCAATAATGAAAACTAGTCATTGATGTTATTCTTTAAAATGTTGATCTTGTGGAGTAATTACATTAAAATAAAGCGTTATTCATGATGGACTGTGATAAATCACTAATTATTTGCCAACACATCACATAAAAAATTCTGCTCTCTATATATCAGTATGGGTGAAGTAGAAAGCAGATCATTATACTTTCCACCTTTTATTTAATTTATCTTTTTATTTGCTTTAAAAATCCCTGAATAATAGGTACTTCATTGCTTAGCTTTTCTCCAAAGAACTGCTTTTGCCAAATGAAGTATTTTCTTTTGCTATTACACAGAAATATTCCTGCAAGGCACAGCACAACCCTTTTAATTCTGGGAAACTATTCTGAGGTTATCCTCAATAATTTCACATTTATTATACTATTGCAATTAAAATACCTCTGTTCCATTCAATTTAAAAGATGTTTTCAGAGTTATCAGATGTGTCTATGAAACACTGCTTAGAATGAAACTGCTGCAGCACAGTCTTCTTCTGAGTGTGCCGACTGAATGGAGAGAGATATACCACAGCTGTAGAAAGGGTTCAAAAGCTAACTCTTGCAACAGTTTTGCTCTGCAGAGCCAGTATCTTCAGGGAGAGGTGTTTGGTGGAAGAGCTCTGATTGCAAAATGTTCAAATTTTCTTGTCCTGTTCAAGATAGAGAGGGAGAGAAGCTTTGGAGCACATGGAACAATTCATTATCATTTTTACTGAAGACTTAGAGGCACTCTGGTTCCTCTCTGTAGTGTTGCATTTTTCTTTTGCAGGGACTGTGTGAAACCTTCCCTTTCAGTAAACTTAAGTGTCACAGTCTTTCAGGGAAAGCTGTTGTCTATGACTTGTGAGATCGTTAGAAGTGTGTGCTAGGAAGGAAGAATGGGCAAAACTGGTGGTCCCATCACTGGACCTGAATGACAGTATCTCTCTCTGGTTTGACAAGGTGCCAGTATATATTTAAGGAACTACTAGGTCTTAGATTAAGAAACCATCTTTTGACACTGTTGTCTCCTGAGCTATTACCTGTGGGGGAGTGGAGGTTTAGTTGTTTTGCGTATGGTTTTGATTTTTGCCCTCCATATGGGGCTCAAGTACAGCTTAGCTTTAATTGATTCTGAAAACAACAAGCCTGCTACAATTCAGAGCTAAGTAAGTGTACTTTGGTACAAATTTAGCATTAAGGAAATGTTAGAGGCTCTGCTGTGTTGCTAGGCCATTTCCCTTATCTATCTATTCTGCTTGCTATGCTTTTTTAGCTTTCTTTTTTCCCCTACTGTTGGTTTTCATTTTTTATTTCTAATCTATTTTCTGTTCTCCTGTGGTTAGGTTCCTGAATCTGACTTTATCTATTCAATTCTCTACACTGTCTTTTTCAATGTCATTGACCCACCTTTTATTTCTTAAATTTGCATTCCTCTTATTTACTTCATTATTCATTTTTCATTCATTTATTCTAGTTTTCAGCTGGTTTTGCTGCTACTCTCTACATTTTGCATTGCAAAGAAAAATGTTAAATATTATCTCACTCCATCATTCTGTCTCACTCATCTCCTAGTCTTTGCACTGTTACCAGACTGTTTGCTTATATGAGCAGTTAATTTTCTCATCCTTTTCCTTTAAGCATTCTTTTTCCCAAAATCTTTGCAGAGTTATTTGACACTTGAGTTCAATTTTATTTCCAGCACTGTGGGACTTGTGTGACTCCTTATTTCTGCTTGACTCTCTTTTCAATTCAATCAGACTTCTATAAGATTTTTCTCTTTAAACCTTGACATTTTATTCTTTTTCTGTTCAGCAAGACAAGAAACAAACCAGGAATTCTTTGCCTAGCTTTACAACTCTTACACTGAGAAATCTGAACAAGTAAACTCAGTGAATATAGACGCACCAAAATTCGCTTCTTTGCCCTCTTCCTAAATTAATAGGCACCACTACTAATGGAAACAACTTGCTGTTAACCTTTGAGTGACCACTGAAGTCTTCCCTTGCAAGTTCCATCCCTCAAAATATTTTATATGGAAAGTTAAAATTACTTAAACTTCCTGAATTGAAGTCTTTGGCGGAAAAAAATATCTGGGAGGCTGCTTTGTTAGTTGGAATACAGTCTTTCTCACCATTGCTGCCTGTGTTGTTATATCCAACAATTACTGACACTCTAAAGATACAGTGTATTGATGGAGTGGGAACTGACAGCATGCAAAAAACTTGGTGCTGGTGAAGACCGGGCACTTCAAACCTTGCACTTGAGTAACAAATTAGGAATTGTGCTTTGAAGTTGTTTGGGTTATTAATTTTATTTTATTCCCCTCCCTCCCCGATAGGACGCACCAACCACTGGTCTGCTATCATTGGTAGTTCTCACTCAAAAAACTACATCCTTTGGGAGTATGGAGGATATGCTAGTGAAGGTGTCAAACAAGTCGCAGAGTTGGGATCCCCAGTGAAGATGGAAGAAGAAATTCGACAACAAGTAGGTGTAATTTAGTGCATACTTAAAAAAAAATGCATCCTGCCTTGGTCTGCAAGTGATTTGTCATTGACAATGTCTGTGAACGTCATTTTGCCAGTTTATTTTGGGTTAAGCAGATTAGGAGAGCTGCCTTTCTTTCTAGGCTCATTCCTACTCTGGCAGAAGTTTTTGCCTGTGAAAGGGCAAGTAAATTGCAGTATTCTGAACTTAGAGATATCTGTGTGTCATGTAAGGCATAAATCAGAGGTAGAAAAGTAAAATTCATCTTTCTGGGCATAATTATGGAGGCACATATAATTTGTTAAAGGAAGACCTTGAAGACTGCTAGCAGGATTCCTTATTCCTTTTTAAAGTGGCAATTTTTCACTTTATAGTATATAACAGCATTTAGATTTGTTTTTTTTTGTTTGTTTCTTTTTTTTGCTGGTGTGCACCTTATTTGCAATTTTCTGCAGATTCATTCAAGTTAGAAATGCTCTTACAGGAAAGTGAGGTGATTTTTGTTGCTAAGCAGGGGAGCTTTACACAACTGTACTAATGAAAACTGATGAATCAGGATTAACGGTTTAAGGGCAGAAGAGCCTTTACAATTTATCATCTTACAGGGGATTGATTCAGCTGAACAGAAATCAATCTTTCAAATAGTTTATAGATAATTTTCATTTTGTTACATGAAGTAACATGCAACGAAATAAGATCTACCAGGACATGGTGATGATTATTTTTAGGATGTCTACCCCCATGAAGTTTAAGGACTCACTAGAGACCAACCTCAGTTGTAAGACAGAAAGGATGTAAATATTATTACATATAATAGAGCTATACATATGATTTTATGTATATGTATGTGTGTGGGAAAGTGCATTATATAATATATAGTTATCATTGCTTCACATGGGAGAGAAAGTAGAAGGTGCTCCTAACAGTATCACCTTGTACAATCAGGACAAAAGGGAAAATTCATTTGGTAAAAAGAGTTAAAAGCAGAAAAGTTAAAGACAGGTTTGGTTTAATGCAGTCTCTGTTTGAGTCTGCTTTCCTGACTTCCCCCCAAACTGATTAAGTGATACAAGAAAAATTTAATAAAACCAATTTATAACATAATAGATTATAGGGGATATGTAGGGGAATATGAAAGGGAAAAGCAATGAGAAGTTGGGGGAAGGGGGAGATATGATGATTGGGACGTTACTCTTTTTCTCATACTAAACCTTGGTGTACTAGGGGAAAGAAAATAGGCCTTGATCATACATAACATGCCTTTGCAACTTTACAGAGAAGTGTCTGGATTTTACCCTAGCAATCCAATATAAACCCAGATGGATGAAAATTCTAGTATTCTTTATACCACATGTGATTTGTCATTTTTCCTGCTTGCTTGGCAAATCAAGATTTTCTCATAACAGGTCCATATGAAATAAAGAAATTCAGCTTAATTAGAATCTTTGTGCAAAAAGAGATAATTTCTTTTCAGTCTTCATAAATACTTTATAAATAAGGGTTTGGAACATCAGAACTGCCACTATACAAAGATTAGGTCTGCTCCAGAAGTAGCAGGGGCATAGGGAAAGTATGGGATGAAGTACAAACAGAGGTGCAGTTATGAAAGGTCATACTGAACGTTGGTGAAAGAGGCAGTGAATGAAGAGAATCTGGTAAAGAAAAAATATGATGACTCTCTGCTTTCCAAATTCTGAGTTCTTTCTCATTATGTGCCCTGTATTTGTAAAAGGGAGGTATATTTGTACGTTCAATTCAAATCAGAGGTGATTGTGACTTTTAAAGTACATAAATAGCTAACTGGCTACAGTTTCAGGGGCTGTTGAAATTGGAGCCGAAATGAATGAATGTCACAGTTCATATCACCATCAGGCTTGTCTCATTGCGTCAGGCCTGCAATCAATCCCACTGATTCTTCTGGTTCAGTCTAATCCAAGCAGTGACCTAATGCTGCTGTAACTGGATTTTACCTAGAACAGCGTGGCGCATCGACAAATGCCATAATATTTTTTCAAGTTTATTTCACTTTTTCTTTCATTTTAACATGTCTTAAAGCTGTGTTAATATTTTTGAGAGAAACTAAGGTAAAGTCCTAGAATGAAGACAGCAGAGCTGCTAATGCCAGGAGCTAATTTCATTCAGGCTTCCAATACCCCTGCCAATCTTGAAATCTGATAGCATTGTTTCCTCCCCCACATTTCTCAGTCTATCCCAGAATCCTTCTGCCCATTTTCCATTTATTTTACCTTTATTTCCCTTATCTGTTGTCCTCACAGCCTTCTGCTGTAGGGTGGTGGGAGGATGCAATTCGTTAAAACCACTCTTCCAAGCTGCCTTTGAGTTTTTTAAAGATACAAGTCAATTCTGTTCTTAATTCTGGTACCTGGACCCAGGTGCCTGTGCAGTGGCATGGGGCTGGGGCTGTAGTCCTTGCCTGCATCGTGCTCCCAGTAGGTAGTGTACTGCTCTCAAGGCCAGACTTGATTTGGAGATCTGCTGTGTGTCTGCTGTGTTTTGAAGGCAGTTTCTTAGGGGAATACATAGGCACATATTTATGTAACCAATGTCTGTGTTATCTAAGATTTTATTAAGGAAAAAAAAAAAGTAATGATTTTCATGGATTATTACTAAAAAATTACCAACCATCTATGAAACAAAGAAAAAAGGGTTTCTTTAAGCAGAGTTTGAAGCGTTCTAACAGTTATGTCATTAACTAAAGATTCTCAAGCATTTCTGCTCTCTATTTGACAGACTGCTGAATCATCATCAGCTTTTCCTCTTGACTGAGCACCTTCAAGTGCTCTGGTGTGTGTTGTTACTGTAAAGAGCCTCTGCCTTATTTTTGCATGAATGGCTCTGGGTACTGTAAACTTCCTTTGCAGTTTGTTTGTCTGGGAGACCTTAAAGAAACTAATCAGCCTTTTTGTTGAACTTTTCCTGGCAGCCTAAAGGAAAGCCACAGCAATGAGAGTTTTAGTAAAACAAACCATCAAGTGGTTGTTGTACGCAAGAGGATAATTCATGTGTTATACTTCAGGGGTTAAAAATGAACAGAGGGTGGAAAAGGAATTTGTGAGCACAAGAATGTTCACTGTCCTCATGTATCTCTGAAATGTATTCACTCTTTCACTTTGTTCTCAGAAAGTCTGATTTCTCCAGAACCTGATATTTGATAAACTTCCTGGGCAGAATCAAATACAGAATTTGAAAGGGGAATTCTGCAATCATATTGTGATTGCTCTGTTTAAACAAACAAACAGGTGGTCAAAACATGAACCAGAAAGAATAAAGCATAGTGCTGAATGTGATATCCTGGGTAGAGGAAATGAGATTAAAATACAGACATTGTCGTTCCTCTTTGATTTAAATGTCTTGAACCTTAAGAGAACTCATTTGGTTTTGAATATTATTTTAGGATAAATGCTGTGTTATTTTGCCACCATTTTTTGAAAAAAAAGCAAAACATGATATGTAATATTCTGTACCTTTCTGCTATCTCCAGAAAATACAGTATGTACTCTTTTCTTATTCCTATGGACACATAGATGCCATTCTTACAGGTTTGGTTTAATGCTCTTTGAAATGTCAGTAAGTGTGATAACTTTTTCTATTGTCTTGTGACCTCAGATTAGAGCTGACAATCCCTCCAGCCCTTTCAGAAGTGCAAGTTCTGCTTTCGAGAAAGATGCTGGTAAATTTTTTGACACATAATTTAAGTTGCATGTGGTAATTGAAGATGAAACTTGAAATATCTGAACGTTCTACAGGATAATATTGTTATGACTCTATCCAGACATTTATTTTTACAAAATAGTTCTGGTTTGGATTTATTTATTTATTTATTTAAATATGGTGATGTAATTAAAAGACGAAAAGAGATTAAAAAAGAAATAAAAATAATTTCATTGTTGGATTTATCCTGTTTAATTGATTTCCCCCCCTCCCAACCCCCATCCCCCCTAAATGTAACTTTAGTATTTCAATCAAATAGTGAATGTTTCGGTAATTGTTTTGTAACAGAGCAAGATGTTGTTTCATAGAAAAATGGTGTCATTAGGTTTTTCTGACTGAAGCTGGTAAATCACCTGACTTACAAACTAAAATTGGCAGTGTATTGATTACTTTTTTGTCACAGTGCTAGGCAAATTATTATCCAGTTTTCAGAGGCACCAGCCTCTCTCTGTTCAAAAGACAGGAATGCTTAGGAATGCTTATGGTGTGGCCATAAAGTCAAATATAAAAAGCATAGTCACTATTCTTACAAATAGCCCAAAACCCCTTTAGGTTTCTGTGCAAAGCCCATAGAAATTTTCATTAGAATTTGGGCTTGGTCTAACAGTGAAATAGTAAAACACTGTCCAAGCACGCTTTCTGCTTTTGATACAGTCTGACAGCATATTTTTAATGGGGTGTTTAATCTAATTCTGGACTGATCAAGCTGCTTGATTGTAAATTTGTACCTGTAATTTGCTTGCTCAGATTCTTCTATTGCTCTGTGCATGAACCTCTACTGTGAATTACGGGACTTTTAATGGCTTTTGCAAATGTCAAGTGGTAGATTTCTTTTTGGAAGGTTTACCTTATATAATAATTTAAAATCTCTTGTTAATCGAGTTTTGTAATGCCTGTTTATTGTGCTAAATTTCATAAAGTATTCTTGCCAAAAATAAATGGATGCCTATTTATACCATAAAGGGGAGGTTTCTCTGTTTACCTATCAGTAAATAACTCATACAACAGGGTTCGGAACAACTCTTCTAGGGTGCCTTCCATCTTTTAATAAACTTCTGTTGGAAACTGTAGTTAGGATGATTCACAGTTTATGTTGCTGTCTTTAAACAAACCAACCAATTTTTCCGAATTGCATTTTTTTTTTTTAGTACTTGTTGAGAGTAAAGATATGCTTCTCTAGTAAGAAAACTGATTTTGAATGCTGTGCTATTTTGCTCTCTGTGGCCATATGATTAATTGCTGTGAGTATGATAACACTTCAGGCCAAA